AGTCCCACCCCTGCCCACACATAGCTTGAAATCTGTGTTTTAGTTACCCTGATTAAGCCCAGGGAAGCCATTAATCTACATGTTATTAAGTACAGATTAATGGTTTCCCTGGGCTTAATCGGGGTAATTAAGCTGTGGTTTCGGGCTATCCCCAAGCGGCTCACTCGCTACAAAATAATAAAAAACAAAAAAACTTATGGGCAAGGAGAAAGGTGTGTGGGGAAACCCTGCAATCTTGAAGTATGAGCGGGGAAGGTGGAGGGGGAGAGGAGGTTGGGAGGAGGGGGCTGGAGTGGGGCTGTCTATACAGGGTGGGATATTGCCTCCCTCCTTCCTCATTCCAGTATTTGCAGAGTGATTCCCAAAGACAGGAGGAGGGGGTGGATGGAACGCAGGCAGGTTTATACAAATGATGGAATAAGAGGTGGAAAGGAGTGGGAGAGTAGGATTGGAGGTGGGGATATGTAGATAAAGGATTGGAGCTATGGAAAGGGAACAGGATTATGCAGAATGAAAAGGAGGTTGGGGGCAGGGTTGCCTCTGCCCACTGTCCCATCTGCCATTCTCCAAGTCTGTGTAAGGCTTCCCACACGCTTTTTTCTTTGTTTGCTCTTTTTGCAGCGAGCCCACCAGAAGCGTGGAGCTTGCACTTTTTGCAGAGGCCGCCCCAAATCGTAATTTCTGCAAAAATCACACAATTGCAATTTTGGTAGGTCCTTATTTATGGGAAAGAACTGCCAGAGTATGCCTGATGAAGGATCTTCTTCCTGTTTTGCCCTGTATCTACAGAATTGCATGCCAGGCTGTAAGGAACAACTATTTTCCTGGCATTTGGTAGACAGAGGAATATAGAGGGGAAAAATGGGTTTGGATCTGAGGCTAAATAAGATTTGGGTAGTTTGTAACCTGGTGGTGGTTGGGTATCTTAGGAGGATGAGCTGATCAGGTTGCTTTATATCATATTGACTAACATTCTTTTTTCAAGTGGTGGCAAAGCATCTTGAGGTTTTTTGTTTTGTGTTTTGTTTTTTGATGAGTATCTGTTTTCATTGAATACATTCAGTTTCTTTAATTAGCAAGATATACAAATAGAAGCCACAGTGGAAATTCAGTTGCTTTTCAAAGAACCACTGTTATTAAAATATAGCTATGCTATTTGACATCTTCTTTGCAAAGCTTGTTGTTTTAATGTGGGTTTTTTTCCTGAATTAATAAATGTTCCTTTCTTTTCTTTTTCTTTGTTTTTTTTTTAAGGTGGACAGCAGCAAGGAATCAGCAGAAGCAGCTTGTGATATTTTATCGCAACTTGTGAATTGCTCTCTCAAAACACTTGGACTAATTTCAACTGCTCGACCAAGCTTTTTGGATTTACCAAAGGTGGATCTTACATGTTTAATTTATATGTGTAACTACTGCAGTGATTGGTATGGGACTGATATAATTTAAGACAAAATTTGGAGATGAGAAGTCAGTGGTTTGAAAGTAGCAAGTTCTTTGTAACCTTTGTCTTTTACTGGGAACTTAAAATTGCAGAATCTAAACTTGCTACTGGGCTATTTAAAGTAGAACTCTCCTAACTCTGTATTTCAAGTACTGACCAACTCTTCTGATTGATCTGAAAAATATATTGGCTTCAGTGTAAACCGTAGAGAGAGTATATGGGGCCATAGTGCTAGTCAAGATTCTGGAGGAACTATGCACACTTAATTACACACCTCATTTTAGACTCTGCCTGTTAAAGATAAGTAGAGGCTATTATAATCATCAGGGATCCTGTTTTTTTCTAATTTAAAAAAAAATCCTCAATTTTCAGATTTAAAAAAGTAATCCATTTTTACATGATTGAAATAAAACCTCTCTCTCTCTCTCTCTCTCTATTAGTGGTGTTTCATTTTAATCATAGATGTAGATTTTGGGTAACTTTTTTAAATCTGAAAATTGGGGATTCTTTTTATCAGAGAAAACCAGGGTCCCTGATGATAATCATTTACTCTGATAATCTGCAGAATGTGTGCAGTGAATTCATTCAGTAATGCAGTGATCCATCAAGCACATAAAATAATGGGGAAACTCTCATATCCAATGGCTAATTACTCTCCCTTTTTAAAATTTTACATCTTTAGTTTTAGGGTGAATTTGTGTAGCTTCACCTTGTAGCGGTCAGATTTTGCAGTGTCTTAGTGCAGGGCTGTTTACAAGACAATCTGAAATCTCATTATATTGGTACTTGCAGATAGTGAATAGCGTCACGTCATGTGTTCATTTGAAGAATTCTTTAATCCTTCGGTATAAGATATTTTTCCCATACCTAAATTATGTTTTGTAGCTCTCTCGGACCATTCCAGTCTTCCAGTGTGGACACCAGAGCTGGACCTACTATTGCAGTAGTGGTGTCACTAAAGCAGTATATACATGTTAGTACTTTGTCCCCGTAGATATACTCTCTTTTTTTTTTCCTTCTTCTGTAGCTAGCACGTTAAAGGATTGTTGTTTACTTAAAAATCCATTACAGACCCCAATCAGTAAATATGCTCAACCTTCTTTTTTCATAACCTAAGTTGGCTGCATTAAAACACGTGTTCAAATGAGCCTGGCTTACCAAATATTTTGGACTGTTCCCCTGACGTGACTTGTTCACTAGCTTAATTTTTGTCATCTGCAAAGTACTAGGAATTTCACTCCATATAGTTTTCATACTGTTGGTAAAAACTTTGGAAGAGCATTTGGTCACAAATAGATCCTTGTAGGAAACAGAAGTTAGCTCTGTTGAATGAAGAAGACACACTTATTTCTCAATTTAACAGCTAACCATTTTTAATTCAATTATTACACACAATTTTCATCGGAATGTGTTAAATAAAGTAAAAGAGATGCAAGTCAGATGACTTTACAGAACTACGTTTTTAATGTCAACATAGTTGCTGTTCAGCTAAACTTCTAATATCAAATTATATCAGGTTTTGCAAAAGTAATGTCAAATGCTTTCTAAAACATTATATATGCAACAGTTACTTAATTTTTCACTAAATACATTTTATTTTCTCCGTGACTTCATCGGGGATTAGTGTCAAGCTGACTAGTCTGTATTTGCTCAAGTAATTGTATTATTCATCTATATTTGCATATTAACTCTTACCAGTCCTTCTTTTCTAGTATTTCAAGATTTGTTAAATTCCAACATCAGTTTTCTTAATCAGCTAATTATTTTAAAATTTTTGGGGTTGTATTATTTATTCTTGTAGATTAAAATGTTTTACTTGGAGCTACTTTTTAACTTTCTCCTTGATAAGTAGAAAGTATTATGTTCTGACTGTTGCACTCCTTTCTAGATGTCTAGCAGAAAAAATTGGTGAAGACCCCTGCTTCTTTTGCATGTATATATTGTTCAGTAACGTTAATGCCCGTAACTTAAAGCTGCCCGACTTTTATTTGAATATTCTATTTTCATTTACTTATAACTTCCCTTACTGTTTGGGCTGAAAATATCCATTCTTTTAGAAATTTTTTTTGGAAAACTTCAAATTAAAAAAGGGCTCAATAAAAAACTGGTTGGTGGGAAAGGACCCGTGCATAGGCTTATTGGGGGAGGGGGCATGTTAGGAAAAATGGAAAACCATGTCAAGACCTCTTTAAAAAAAAAAAAAAAAAAAAAAAATTATAGTACCTCACAGGCTGGTTGGTGGTTGGGGTTTTTTAGTTAATCATCCCAGGTCTCTGTGGGCCTCGATTCCCAGATGGTCCTTGGGAAACGGCCGCAGTTGCGTGTCGAGTGGGGCACCAGGTGGTGACACCAACCCAGACACGCTCAGGGATGCCAAGTGCGAGAGGGAGATGAGATAAGCACCACAGACAATGGGGTTTGAAATAAAATTTGGTATTTACTTACAGAACTGTCGACACAACTTGAAGGGTGATATAACTTGGAGGCGATGAACTATATACAGCAACGAGGGACAGGTGGTGGGTGGCGGGTGGAGACTGCAGTATACGAGTACGATGTCTGGTTGGGACAAAGTACAACGCGTTCCGGATTTGGCGATGCAGTAAACTATAATGCTCAGAGCGACCGGAGCAGCTTCTGCTATAGACCTAGGGGTCTGACCAGGCCCCAAGACGGGTGATCAATCTGTCCTGAGAGTCAGAGCCTGGGGGCCACGCAACCCGGCGAACGGGCCCCCATAAA